GTTTAAAGCACCGCAATTCTGCACCTTGGCTATTCATCTTCTTATTCACCTTCCCGAAGAATGCCTCCGATTTAGAACACTCAAAACATTCAGTTGCTTCAAGTATGAAAACACGTTGAAATACCTGAAATCGCTTAATCAGAGTCAAAAAGAACCGTTCATTCACCTGATAAAAAAGCTGCAAAACTCCTCGACATTCAAGTCAAATATCAGCCGATCAGGTGCAAGAATAGATAAAGCGTGCAAACCGATCACTGATTCGCCATATACCACTGAACAGATGCAATTTGCTCGATTACAAACTTAAAAATAGCGATTCTCAACTGATGAAGCAGATAGCTATTTCAGAGACGGTTCACGAGTGCTGCAGCTTCAGAGTATCGTTGGAACTATAGAAGGCAGTTACGAACAGATTTTTAAAACATTTCTAACAACACGCTCTGCTTTCCAGTTGCCTTTTGAGGCGAACAAGACATTTGAAAGTTCTGAAATTGATGATCTTGAAATCAAAGATCTCTCACAATGCTACTGCCAGTTGAAAGTGACCGACATAGCCTGTAAATATGTGGTCAACAAGTTTGGTTCAAAGCTAGTGGCTTATAGACTATTGAAGTAACTTGATAGACACGATCCTATCAAAACGTTCCCGTACCCTAGAGAGACACAGCACAGAAACATACTTAAAACATTCCTGAAATGTTCCGTAACGTTCCCGGGTACCCTAGAGAGACACGGCACAGAAACACATTGAAAACGTTCCCAAAATGTTCCATAACGTTCTAGTACCCTTTTTTGCCGCTAGAGGGCGACACCACAGGAACGTTTTCAATATGTTCCTGAAAATTTTCCAAAACGTTCTAGTACCCTTTTTTGCCGCTAAAAGACGACACCACAGGAACGTTTTCAAAAAATTCCCGAAATGTTTCCAAAACATTCTGGTACTCTTTTTCGCCGCTAGAGGGAGATAAAGATTATTGTATATATTATTGTACTACGTAATTTGTCAAAACTCATTTGCGAAAATCAGCTTGTTTGTTCTTCTTCATCTTTTTATGCATCAAACTGTCGATTTGTCGCTGGACCAGCAGTCAGTGGGACAGGGTTCAGGAGAGTATTGAGTTTGAAGTAAAATATAAAATCGCGGATTACGACGAGTTACCCGTAATTTTCAGACACATACGTGATTTGCTCAATATGACTTTACCGTACTCCGTTATGTTTTCGGCGATAAGACAGTTTCAACCGCTCCTAAGAGTTGGCTTTTGCCATCCACGACTTCCAATGCCATCCAGTGCTTGTGGCCCCCTAAAGGAAGAGTGTTGAAGGCAATCAAAGATTGCTTTCCACCAAACGAGGCCTGGAACAGAACTCAAGTACAGAAAGTTTACCAAGACGTCCCCGATCTTGAAACGGTAAGTTAATATCAACTGTTTTCAAAAATTGTTACAAAAACCCTTCAACTGTTTTTATGATTTTCTCGTTGTACGTTTCTGGATGGTTTCACGTGGCAAAAACGTTTCTGAAAGTTTTTAGAATGTTGGCAACGTTAGTACGTTTTAGAATGTTTTTAGAACGTTTTGAAAACATTAGTGTGTTATTTAGGGCCGAGAAATCGAGGCTTTGCACCTTGACGGACAACGAGAGACAGAGACCACAGAAGTGGAAAGCCAAAGTGGTTAGTCAAGGATCCATGGAGGACTTGGCTAGTTGCACTTCCTCTGACGCGGTTCTAGCCGTTAAGAAACCGAAAGCTCTGCCTCGTTTGAAAGATGACGTTGCGCTGGACAACCGAGTTCAACACGCTGCCAAAGATCCCCGGCAACGAAAGTTCTCTAAAGTGAGTGTTTCAAACATAATTCTAAGTACGTTGCTTATCGAAAACTATTGCAAAAATTATGAAGTTTCAAAAATGTTTTGAAGATGTTCCAAGAATGTTCCCTAACGATTGTTTTGTTCAGAATGCGCGGGACGATAGTGACATTGCGCTGGACAAGGACAACCCAGTTCAACACGCTTCCAAAGACCTTAGCAATCAATTGTCTAAAGTGAGAGTTTCAAACATAATTCTACGTACACTGTTTATCAAAAACTGTTGCAAAATTGATGAAGTTTCAAGAATGTTTTGAAGATGTTTCAAGAATGTTCCAGTTCCAAGAATGTTCCAGTTCCAAGAATGTTCCCTAACGATTGTTTTCCTTAAAGTTTCCTCCAAGTTCCACAACAGAAAACAATTGTGAATGATCTTGATGATGATGAGGATGAACCTGAGGAGGATCTACCTAAAAGTCCCGCTACACCATCGGGTGAATCCGTCAACGACGACCTTCACAACTTCTCTCTGTCGCAATTGAATGTAAATTTCTAATGAAAGTTTCCAGAACATTCCCAGAACACAATATATAAAAAAATTTCGCAAGCTATAAATGAAAACGTTTTTGGAACGTTTTGAAAACGGTTTTTACTGTTCTTACTGTAGTGTTCTTTTCCAGCCCTCCTTTCTTGTGGACCCAACGGCCGAGGCCTTAGATGCCATATTGAAGAAGCTGAAATGCATGGACGGGCGACTGCAGCGGGTGGAAGGGCAACTAGTGCGCGTAGAAGAAGGCATCGAGCGCATCGAGGATAGTTTCGCCCTCAACAACTCCCGAAAAACTCAAGGCGATGACGCCGTCAAAGCAATGTCCAAGCTTCCACTGTTGACCGTTGAAGCCTTCCATGCGTTTGACAGACAACTTGCCAAAAACACATCGGTGAGAACTACGATAAATGTTCCAGAAACGTTTCAGACATGTTCTCAGTTTGTTAATTGTGTTTCACTGGAAAATCTTCAATGTTCTAAGAATGTTCCAGAAACGTTTCAGACACTTTCTCAGTTTGTTTCAGCTGAAGCAGATGCTGAAAAAGGAAATCAAGTGTTATCCGGTAAAGAAACGTTCACGATGTGCCCTGGAGCTTGTGATGGAGCCCTCAGTCATTGCGCGCTTCCGGTACCCAAGGCAAACCACCACTTCCTTCGATGCTTCGAGAAAACAACATTAGCTGAAATTATTATCAGTGCAAATGAGACTGATGGCATGTCGGCAGACGAAACGAGAAAGACGTTGTCACAGTGTTTCCGCAAGAACCCTGTCTACCAATCAGCGACTACTAATGTGCAGACACCTCAGTGAATTTAGACTGAACTTTTGATTGTTTCTGTCTTATTTGATTTGGTGTTCAACTTTATAACTTCTGAATTTCAAATTGTTTAGTTTATCTGATGTTTTTTCCAAGAACCTCAGTAGGTTCCAGATCGACTTCAAAACGTTCTCGGAACGTCCTCAGAGAATAGGACGAAACAATTCCAAAACATTCCACGATAATGCTCCGGCATGTTTCTGAAACGTTTTTAGTTGTTGAACGAAACATTTCCAAAACATTCCACGATAATGCTCCAGCATGTTTCTCAAACGTTCTTAATTGTTGTTCCAGAATGTTCCGAAAAAAATCTCCAATTTTGTTCCAAAAACGTTCTTCTGTAATGTTTGTGAATGTTCTCAGAACATTCCAACGTACATTCCTAAAACGTTCCTGAAACGTATTGAGATCCTGCTAGAGAAAAATTTAAGAATGTTTTTGAAATGCTAATTCAGAACGATAGTTCCGTTAGGTTTAGAAACATGTTCCAAAAACTTTCCTAATGTAGAAAAACGAAAGTATACCACAGACCCGGAACGATTGAGGGGTTGAAATATTGAGGGGTTGAAAAGTGTTCCAAAGTTGTTCTTAGAACGTTTAGCAAACGTTCCGATGAAAATCCCAGAACGTCAAAAAAATTCCCCGGATGCCGCACTACACATGGAACGTTCCTGGAACATTCTGGAACGTTCCACACAATTTCCATAAATAGCAGCAGTCGGAAAGCCGAATGACCGTTCCATTTTTATCCAATCAGGGTTTGAAAACTGTTCCACAAGTGTTCCAGGAACGTTCCGGAACGTTCCAACTGCCGAACTTAACCATGTGAACATACGACATAAATACTCGGCGTTCCGACTTCTCAAAATGATTTGGAACGTTCTGGAACATTCTTGCAACACTTATGGAACACCCAATTGTTTTTGGGTATCATATTGAAGTATACATACCTATATATCATACCTTGTGATATATCATTTTGAACTAATCATATTGTGATCAATAAAAATTTCTAGTGTCGAGTAAAACCTAGTTTTACTTGGGTAGCGTTAGTTTATTATGAGTTTTAAGCTCCTTTTCAGAATCAAATTGTTCAAAAACTCAAAAAACTGCAGAGAAAAAATTTTGATTTTTTTTTTTCATTTTTCTAGTCATTTTTCGACAAAAACTGTTTTCCAAATTGCTGATTTTTGCGAATATGCCTAACCTCTAGTTTTTCGTTCAGTTGCTTTTTCACACCACGCGGAAACAACGGCACTATTTTGAAAAACTTTTCTGTTTTTTCAAGACTATAGTCGGATCATTCTCTGCTACTTGCACAGTAACCGACTATCCTTGTTCTTTTTGTGACTTTCGCAAAAAAACTCATGCATTTTTCTAATATTTTTAGATTGCTAGAAACCTTTTATGGAAAATTTAGTGGTTGGTTGAAAATTTAGTGACTGCATTCAAATAGAGGTTTGAGTATTCGATTTGGGTGAGCAATCATGTCGTGAAGAAAAAATAATAGTGATCCTCGAACAGTGACGGGATATTTTTACTTACTCCTTCCTAAATGCTAACTTTCGACCACGAAGACGAACCAGAGGTTCGCACCCTTTGCGATGCAACTCAGAGTAAAAAAATAGGACTAAAAATGCCAGAAAAACTACATTGAAAAAAAATATATATCTAAAAATGTGTCTCGGTTGATGTTTTTTAAAGATATTGTTCCTTTCAAAAAAAAGGAATAGAGCGGAAGAAATAAGAAGAGCTCGTGACATTAAAATTAATTTTGTTGGTATAAAGAAAAGAAGATTCTAAAGCTTTCAACATGATGATTCCTAAGATTGAACGCGTCAGCTTGATCAGCGCAATATCCTGTTTTGGTTGCAGCTCCATTTGAAATCTGTAAAACAAACAAATTTTGCTTAATGAAAAACAGTAAGAAGAATTTAAAAAAGAATCGTAAATTCTAGCCGGATGCTCTATAAGCAATAGCAAAGAACGCTCTGTACGCAATATTCACTGGAAACTAATTTAAAACTTTCTGTCAAACTTTCCATCGCTATGAGTGAGTTAAAATATACTTAAATAGTGATTGAATTGAATGGTTTCGAGTGATTTAGATGACTGTCAGTTCTCGCTGCCGTATTTTTATCTAAAAAACGGGAGTATTTAAAGTTTTCTTGACAGAGCGAGAATTGTTTGAAACTTTTTTGAACCCGAATGATCGTTCAGAGAACAACACGGAATTAACATCTCATAGTTGCGAACGCAGCATTTTTGAAACAACAACTAAAATGAAATCTAAAATGAAACCCAGCAAAAAGCAAAACAGTTATAGTTTTGCTGCTGTTGAAAATATATAAGATTCTTTCTTACCCATATGGAATGAACCATTTTTGAACAGAATAGAAGAACATTTCGCCCAGTATTCGTGAATAATCACCAATCTCCACCAGAATTCTAGTGGCTATAAAATTAAAGCTCTGTTTTTAAAATTAATAGTTTTCTCCATCAGAAAACTTTGGCCTTTATAACGTTTTCAGGAATACAAAAAAAATGAATTTCACCACAACTTTTTTCATTACGAGGCCAAACTGTGCACTGGATAGGAGCCCGTACCGAGAAAATTCTTTATTTCTGACCTGAAATATTTTGTATCTAATCTAATTTCTGGTCAGAAATTCTTTTTGAAATGTTTAAATAAAGCATGGATTTTCTTTGAATACTTTATTTCTAATCCTAATTCTGATCAGAAATTAGCTAAACCTAGGCAATTTCTAGCTAAAAAAAAGTCTAATGGTGGGTCTCGAACCCCCGACCACCTGATTTCTGGATATGGCTCTATCCACTAGGCTACAGCCCTGTAAACAGTTCAATAGTTTTACGAGAATAACAATCTTATAACAAGTGTAACTTTGCATTATATTCGCTACTGCTATTGGGTATACTCGAATCATGTTTATCTCGTTGCGGTTGAACAGTGAACTGATTTCTGGTTATTTCTTTCCAGAAACTGTTTGTTTCTAAACTAGAAAAGAAATAGATCACTTCTTCACGGAAAATACGAGAAAACCAGGCTAGATAATCTACATAGAATTTCTATCTAGAAAAACAGCTTCTGTTGGGTACGGGAGCACAATTTTGTGTCTGTATGTTCCTGGAATCCAGAGACAAGTCTTTAAACATGTGAAAATTTTGTCGGAACGATCAAAGAAAATTAAAGAACAAAAGAAGAACAAAGGGATCGTCCTTTTTGCGGAAGCCGCTTACAATGCACAAAATGCACAGTTTGGCCTCGTAATGTTCTATAAAAGAAACAAAATTTTTCATGCTGAAACAAAAGTGCAAATAGCACAAATAAATTTGTAAAATTTAAGGTAAGATATTGAAAGGTATACACCCAGTAAAATTTAAACCGTAGAAACTTCGTTTAAAAAACGAAGAAAGATACATTTTTTTCGAATGTTTATTGCTTGGTTTGCTCTGTTTTCATGTGACCACATAGGCTAAAAAATTGCTATCCCATTTCAATTATGCAGTTAGGTAGCTCACGTTGATTGAAAAAATTAGCTGACATCAATTTTTTACATCGTTTAATTTCAATCCGCACTGGAGTTCTATGGATAATAATCAATTATTGTTACTATTGCTTACAGCAATTAAATTCATTTTGAATTCGCTATAATCGACTATAATGAATAATAATACCTTCTTCCTAAACTCAGTTTGATATTTTCAGAAGTTTTTCAGTAAATTCAAAGTTTGACTGTTGCTTGTGCAAAACATACAATGGATTTCTAAAGCAACACTTGCTTTATTGGGAAAACAGTTATTTTGTTTCCTATTTTTTACTAGTAATTTTCCCTGATTTCTCATACGTTGTTTTAGCTGCTTAGATTTTGCTGCAATTGCGAATAGTTTTCCAACAAATTTCTACACATAATAACTTTTAGAAACTCTTAGAATCCATAATTCTAGTTCGTGAAAAAAATGGAATATAATTTATTTCAAAATCAAGAAGATTATTTATATTTCAGTCTAATTGAATTGTTTTGGCTATTAAATAAACCATAAAACTCGGTTTTTATCTTGAAACTCCAGTGGAAAACTTCTACTGCGGCAAACATTATTGAGACAATTTTTTAAGCTTTACAACATCCCAGAAATGTAAGCTAACCTTCAAAAACAAGTACTTTTAAGATTAAAGGCAAAACTATTTGCAAAACCATTTTTCTGTTTTTTTTTTCTTAAAAAGCGTTTTGGGGGAAATCCACTCGTAGATCTCCTTACATCTCCGTACTTTTGTATAATCCAGGGGCTGCTCTTCAGCCAATCTGCTTACTTGTAACAAAATAGTGCAAGTTAAGGCCGTTGAAGTAGAAAGACTAATAGTTTTTTTAGAAAAAATGTTCTGTAAAATTTGTGCTCACAAATCCAGGTTCGAACGAATAAAAAAAACTAAAGAAAGGTTGGATATTTTGTTTCTCGGAACAACAGATACTTTGGAAGCAATGAAACATCATAAAAATGCCCAATATGGCGGAAAATTGTTTTCTTAGTTTCAAACTTGAATATTAGTTAATCGATTCTTCACGACGCAAAAAGCAAGTTTTTTCTGTATCACTGACTTTTTCAAAACTTGGGCTGGGATCTTAGTACTCAAAGTTGATTGGTTGAAATAAATTCCATTAAAGAAGTCTGTGATTTTTTATTTGAAAAAAAAAAACTCAATCAACATTTTGATGATTTTGTTTTTGGCAGAAAAGGCCCCGAATAAAACAGAAAAGGCCCCGAATAAAAAAGTATGCATATGAAACAGAGCATTCTAACTTACAAAAAAGAAAAGCTTGAGCTACACAATTCGGAAACGTTAAAAATGACAAGTTAAATGTTTTCTATAAATCGCAAAATTATCTTACCGTTTGCTCCAGCAAAAATTACAAAGAAATGGTATCAATGAAATAGCACTTTTTTATCAACTAAAACTTCGTTTCCAAAAAATTTTTAAGAAGACTTTGAAAAGTAACAGAAACTTTGAAAACTGTTCGCTGTGCAAACAAAACGATGAAATCCAGCTTCTACACAGGCGAAAGCAAACATTACAAAATCTAGTAAGTCAAAAAGAGAGTTTGAAAAACATTTCTTAAAAATCAGGTCTTCCAAATTTTTCATATGTTTGTCGCGGATTGTTTCAACAAAAAATGGTTTGTTAAATCAAAAAATGATTTGTCCCAAAAAGCAATTGAGTATCAAATTAGCAACAAAATAAACAAAACGAAACAGTAACGATGCCGACAATATTTGAGCAAACACCAGTTGAAACTCAAACGACATAATATTAAATTTCGATCATCAACCGATACGAGGCCATTAAAATGACATGCTAAAAGCCAAAATTTTTTAAGCCAAACACAAAGAGAAAAAATCTTATAAAATTGGAATTCGTATATTTACAACCAAAAAAAAAAAACTTCGACAGGCGAATCGTGGCATCGAACAACTTGAGATACATAAACGAATATGCCAAGATTCGAAAGATAATTTGGCTCTTATGAAGAAAAAATTAAGTGAATTTTGTTGAAGAAATCGTCGGCTGAAAACTCTTATAGCAATTCTTATAGGACTCAATTACCCAAAACATAGAGGACTCAGGTTACACAAACTCCATTCATTTCTTTCTGATAACTATCAGATGGAAAGGAAACAAAAAAATTGAGGTTTCGGTTCCAAAATCATGATCCAAAACATGCAAAACTCAGCAACAAACTTCTGAAAATCTTGGAACCAAACAGACTGCATATCCATCAAGAACATCTGGATTGATCAAAAGATTTTTCTATTGCTTGCTTAAAACAAAGATCAGAATGAACGAAAAAAACCAACATTGAAATCTCAAAAAACTTGAACACAAAAACTTCAAACTGATACTGCAAAACAAAATTTGCAGAAAAAATAAAATTTTAACAGCCTATTAAATTAACCCAATTACATCAATATTTTCTTATATGACGCTAATACGCAATGGTAAGGTAGCTGAAAGAAAAATAAAGACACCCGCCAAATACCTGCGTAGACAAAACAACCAAGTCAAAATTTTTCATGTCAATCAAGTCCGCAAAAATTTCCGGTAATTAATTTAGGACATTTATTTTAGAAGTTTTACTTAAGATTAATTTAGAAAAATGTTGTAAAATTGAACAATACCCTGTGCCATCACCTTGAAGGGTTTTGAACCGAGGTTGTTCAAAATCAAATTTTGATACTAAGTTGTTTTCAGATAACCGCAAACATTATCAAAGCAATAAAAAATCAGAAACAGTGCCTTAAAAAATTTAAATAATTATTTAAATTAAATAAAAATCGCTCAAAGTTTTTTCTGTTCAAACTGAATGTTTCAGCGTGTATTAAAAAACGTGTTAAAAAGCGTGAATAAAAAAATTTTGCGCGTATTAGGATTTTCGAATTAAATTAAACAATTAATTGAATAGAAGTTTCTGAAAAAAACTGTAAATAAGCCGAAAATTCGGCCGAAATCAACGACGCCAACAAAAAAAATTTTACATCTAAGAAATTTTAGGCAGTGGATTCAGTAACGCATTAACTCCAGACACAGTAACAAGGAGTGTTAAACGGGCAATATGCTGAAAATGGAGTTATCCTGAAGTTATCCTGAAGTTATTTACGGGAAACCAAAGTCAAGTACCAGATTGCAATACCCTTGCTTACCGCAAGAGTAAAAACACAGGATAATCATAAAGCAGACAGGCTCAAAATGAGTTTTTACTTCTGTCAACCAACAGACATGAGAAATGAATCTGTGATACTTGCGAACAAAAATTCTATCTTCCGATTTGTTAACGCCTGTTAATCGCAATTTTAGTAATTAATTGAGCTAGCAAACAAAACAGAAAAAAAACAGTAGCAAATCAAATTACCAACTATTTTTTTTATTTTTGCTGGAACGTTTCTCAGGAATAAAATAAGAATTTTTTCGCAAGAAAAATCTTGTGATAATTGCAGAATTGCACGTTGGCAGATATACGTCAGTTTTAAAAATCTACTTTAAGTAACTGGATGTCGTGCAATAAAACAAAAAAGTCTTCAGGACAAAATAAAGTTTTTCAAATGTTTCACCTTTATCACCTTTTTTTCTCCTTTATCAGGATTTAGAAATAATTTGAAATCGGGCTCCAAAATATGTATTGCCATTTCAAAAATTGTAAGATTGATCAAAAACCAGAAGATATCAGGTTGGATATGAGTGATCAATGCAACCTTTCTACCTTAAGGTCAAATTTCAGTCTAAAAACGGAACGAGAAACTTTAAGACCAGTCTTAGAAAATTCTTTATCGAAATCAAATGACAATTCGAAGCTTCTTATAGTAATTCTGTGAGGCTCATTGAGAGAAACAAATAACTCGTAGAAAAATGGAAGCTTATTTTTTTTGGATTTACTAAACAATCGCCCTCCCAATGGTATCTACTAAAGAAATGCCAATCTTAATAAAAAGCAGTAAATTTGCACTAGAACAATGTTTATAAACTTCGATATTTGCTGCATTCTGATTGGTCGAACAAAAATTATTAAAAATTGCTCCCTTCTTGAAAAGCGGGGGAGGGGAGGGGAGGGAATAATTGTTATCTAGATCTCTTTAATAATGTCAGCCCCTTATAAATAGGAATCAGGATCAGGGGCGGATTTAAGATAGGATTTACCGAGCTCTCCAAAAGCACTAAAAAGACCATTTTGTCAAATTTTCCTGCACCGCAGGCAAAATTTTGAAAAAAAAGATGCCGAAAAAACAGGCCGAAAAAACTTTGACCAAAATATCGCGTTTTTTTGGCGCGCGCTCGTCTCTTAAAATTAATTTATATGGGCTCCTTTAGAAAATTTTTAAGTTCAAAAATGGATAACTTAAAGTGATACAGAGGGGGACAGCAAGGGGTCGAATCCCAGATGGGGGAGGAGAAAGCATCCGCCACCCCGCCCTAAATCCGGCCCTGATCAGAATATGACAGAACTAACATATAAATTAAGCTCTTTGATGTTTGTAGGATTTATACTAACATCCCAAGACAGCTTTTTATTATTTTTCTGAAATTCTTGCTACACTCAGCTGTTTTCCGAGAAAAATTTTATCAATTTACAATTTTTCATGTTAAATCACAGCATCACTCTGATATTTACGAAAACTAGTTATATAAATGTTGACAATTCGCACTGATTAAGGTACGGATTAAATACTAATAAGAATAGGCCATTTCAATTATTTTCACACATCCCAGACTAGTATATTTTGTTAGGTACTTTTGGGACTAACGAAGCTTTTGTGATTCAAAGCCTTTTTATCGACGCGATACCACTAATGCAGCCAAAATCGGCCAGTCTGCGGTAAATCTGAAGCTAAAAATCTTTCACGCTATCATGGCTCTGCCGAGATATAAAAAACGCGATCTCAAAGCAAACGCCTTACAACTATGCTGAGCGCATTTCTATCAGCAAAAAAACTTCGTAAGATTGTTCAAAAACCAGATATCAGGTTAGACATGAGTGATCAATGCAAGCACTTCTACCTGAAGGTCAAATTTCAGTCTAAAAACGAAACGAGAAACTTTCCGACCAGTTGTTCTAGACAATCATATTTCTTGGAAAATTCTTAATCGAAATCAAATTACGCTTCAAATCTTCTTATAATAATTCTGTGAGGCACATTGAGAGAAGACAGAGCAATTTAGTTAAAACAAATCCCTCGTTGAGAAAGTAATGCTCACTTTTTTAGATGCTCACTTTTTTAAACAATCGCCCTCCCAAAAGTATCTACTAAAGAACTGCCAACGTTAATTAAAAGCAGTAAATTTGCACTAGCACAATTCATATGAACTTCGATATTTGCTGCATTCTGATTGGTCGAACGAAAATTCATAAAAATTGCCCACTCCTTGAAAGGCGGGGGGGAGGGGGTAATTGTTAAGAAGATCTCTTTTTTAATGTCAGCCACTCATTCCGAGCTCCTCCAAAACACTGAAAAAAGGCCATTTTGGTCAAATTTTCTGCTCCGCAGTCACATTTTTGAAAAAAAAAACAGGCCAAAAAAGGCGTTTTTAGGCAAATTATCAAAAAATTTGACCAAAAAATAAAATTAGTTTATAATGGCGCCTTTAGAAAATTTTTAGGGTCAAAAATGGATAACTTTAAATAATACAAAGGGGGACAGCAGGGTGTCGAATCCCTGAGGGGGGAGAAGACGTTCGCCACCCACGTTGAATCCGGCCCTGATCAGAATATGACAGAACTAACATATAATTCAAGCTCTTTGATGTTTGTAGGATTTATACCACAAAATCATGATAGCTTATTATTTTTCTGAAATTCTTGCTACACTGAGCTGTGTTTAGCAAGAAAATTTTTATCAATTTACTATTTCTTATGTTAAACCATAGCATCACGCTGATATTTACGATAACTGTTAATATAAAGATTGACAATTCGCACTGATTAAGGTACAGTTAAAATACGAATAAGAAGAGGCCGTTTCAATAATTTTCCCACATTCCAGACTGATTTATTTTGTTGAGCGTTTTTGTGACTAACGAGGCTTTTGTGATTCCAAGCCATTTTATTGACGCGATACCACTAATGCAGCCACAACCGGCCAGTCTGCGGTAATTCTGAAGCCAAAGGTCTTTTACGCTTTCATGGCTATGGCGAGATATAAAAAACGCGATCTCAAAGCAAACGACTTACCACTATACTGAGCGCATTTCTATCAGCCAGTTAAAATTGACACGCTTGCGTGCTAGCGTGAAAAAAAAATCACTTTCATTTAATTTTGTGTTCGCCAAGTACACATACAACCCAATTAACTAATTTAAGCAAAGCAGGTTGAGTACACCGAGGTGAAGCAAAGCCTAGCACCACTTGCAATACAACGCAATCATAGCATTGAATGCTGGTGAGTATAAAATTGGAAGTCAAAAATTACAAAAAAAAATTGAAGCTAAATCAACAAAAAGTAAATCTCGGTTGATATTCAATTTCAGTCACAAAACAAAATCAGCAGCTTTAAGAAAGTGATTAGATTGCTTACCGAGCATCCAATAAGACGAAAATACTGCGCTAGACGTCCCTCAGCCGAAAACAAAAAAAAACAGAAATCAAAAATATCTTAAGCTTTAGGCTAATAAATTTCAAAATTCGATGTTTTGGCTCAAAACTCCTCTTGAAACTTACAAAAATATTTCATTTTTTGAAATGATACATTAGAAGGCGATGAAGCCGATGTAACCTTATCCAAAACCAATTAGCAAAATAAATAAAAAAAATTACCGTATTGAAAGTCAAGATTCAGTTCAAAAGTTCAGAACGTATTGAAAGTCAGTTCATAAATTTGCAAGAAACAGAACGACGTTCATTTATATTAAAAATTGTTTCAATCAGAATATGGAAAAAATCATCATTGGAAATTCAGCCGACAAAAAGTAAGAGACAAACAATTGTCCAAAGATATCAGACATTCGAAATCCAGCCGACAAAAATAGGCAGACACAAAATCCGACTATTCCGAATTTCAGAAATGTTTCAAATTAATACGTATCGAAAAAACCAAGGGCCCACCGGAACTCGAACCCCAAATCTAAGAATCACAAGGCACACGCGTTACAGCTCGCTAGATCAAGTGAGAAGGGGCCGCGAAGGTATTGAGGTTCCGCAATAAACCAAGAAGAATTTGCTAGATTTGTAAGAAAGTTCGTTTACGGTAAATCTAGTTCCCGATTAAAGTCACTTGCTCTCTAAGTGAAAACATCTTACGTATTTTGTCATGAGAATTGACAAGGGTGCAAAAGAGTTAAAGACTTCAGCTAGCTGAAACTAGGTTTGACTTACGTTCAATCCTTATAACACAATGTGCAGCAGTAATGACCCACTTCCTGCCAATAATTGCACCACCACAAAAATCATCTCTGTAAAGAAACCGAACTCGTACGAAAAACCTTCTATTGAAGGTCGGAAAGCCATTTATTATCGAAGCTTCCAGAGAATTCGTTATATTGAAAGAGTTTTCAGAACTATTTTGTTCTTTTTTGGAGTACGGGTAGGAAAGAGATTCAAGAACAATAATCCAAACTGTAACTAGCTGGATAAACTTCATCATTTGTTGAAGTAATCGTTGATCAAGTTGATATTATACTAGTTGATATTATACTTGTTGATATTATACTACAGATCTCAAGTTAACGAGCTTCGCTTCAAAATATTTGCTCTGAAATTGCTCTTCGGAACACTCTTTTAACATAGCCAACTAACTGTTGAAAAAGAATTATGAACGCAAGTAAACAGAAAAAAAAACACGGACTTTGTTGAAAAAATCTCAACTTTCGAAGTTCAAAGAAAAAAAAACAGATGTCTTTTAAGCTCTTTGAATTTCTAAAAAAAATCTATTATTGGCCCTTTTTTGATAACATCAACCCAATTTGACAAAACTGGATCAACGGGTAAAGTTATTATTATGCAGGAAATCTTGAAATTAAATTCCTTTATCGAAACTAGGAATAGTTCACGTTTTTTATCGCCAATTCCATGTTCGCATTTGGAGTGATATTTAAAAAATTTTCAGCAGATGAATTTCAATTGAACTAAAAAAGTGCATATATACCTAAGTGATTCATAAATGCATTAATATGTATGAATGCACATCTGTAGTAATTAGAGTATTTTAAATTTCCTGAAAAAAATCACCAAGACCAATATACGAGTCTTCACTACGTTCATAATTCTTAACAAGGCCGAAAAATTAATGTTTCAGATGGCTAAAAACCACGTATGAGCAAAAAAAAAACTAAATTCATTTCATCTAAATTAAATCCATCAGATGGTAATCACGATTAACACTTACAAATAAACTCAATGAAGAATTTCACATCAACTTTTGCAGACCATCTAAAAATGAATTTCTATCGCAATTATTTTAGGTAATTGAGGTTACAGTCAAGTATCATTTCAATTTCAGCTACCTTCTGTACTTATAAATCTTGAACTTGAACCAGAGTTGGAAGATATTATTTGAAAACTGACACTTGTATCCATGTTTATGTCCATACTCCCATTCTCTGTTCACAATTTTGAAAGCAATGTCTTCGTAAGGCGGGCCCGAACTGAACCGCAGCACGACAAAGTCCGACTCGTTCGGAATGGGTTCCAAGGTGTAGCGCGGGGTCTGTCGTTTGTCAATTAAATCTGGATAGAAGATATTGAACTTGTAGCCCTGGACAATCTTCGGAGGTGGGTTTTCGGGGTCATAATGGGTCTGATTGTATTTGTTCCACTCGTACCCCTGAAATGGTATACTTCTAGCAAAGTGTTCTTCCAAGAACTGGAACCTCAAGCAGTTATATAACAATCACGCAAAACTCATATCATAATCAGAAAGAATAATGCAGCTTTTATTTAACTTGTTTCGACTGACTACTATTCTACACTCATTTTCACTTCATATTTTTCTGGCTAATTTAGCACAAATTAGGAAAACTATTCGATTTATGACAAAACAATGAAAGTGAAGTTTCTTTCTGAGCCCTTCAATCAAAAGGATAGTTCATCAGAATGAAAACTGATTGGTCAATTTAGACGGCAGGTTTGTTAATTGAGCAATATGATATTAATACCGTACCGTGTGCACTCGATTGAAGTATCGTGGCTTCCTGGGCCTGTACTTGTCCGCCCAGAGGTACTCTTTGTTCACACTCTGCTCAGAGGAGAAGGCCTGGTTGTGTTCGTCATCCTCCTCCAAAATGCCTCCCACGTCACGCACTTTCTGCATCAGATGTCGGTCTGCGTCGATCTGAAGAGAAACCGTTATCAGTAAGAGCCAAGCACTGAAACTGGGTAAAAGTACCTAGCTGCAAACTATTCAAAAAGCGAAAAATAATCCTGGAACTCAGATTTAAATTATTTCAGATTTAGACTTTCTTCATCTAATAGTGATTCAGCGATCCATATTAAACTAATTTAAAACTATTTACTTTTTTAATACTTTATCTGCGACCACTGTTTGGCAACTGAGGGACTATTTTTTATTTGTACTCACATCAGCATTTCCTGTTCCAAGGAACTTCTGCCGGGCAAACTTCAGTTTACTCAGTTCCTCCTCAGGCTCCAGGCAAACAGTTCCTGCTGGCAAGTCTCCAGGGTCCAGCAGTCTGGGAGAAAATCTTCCCGCATCATAGGAGTCTTCAGCATCTGGAACACACCACACACAAGGATCGAAAATAACGCCATAATCAGAGATGTGTTCCAAAAAAAATCGACCCAGCAGTATACGTCTGTGAATCGTCGAGATGCTCAAACAATGTCATCAAGTTAAAATTTTATTACCTTCGTCCAGGCTGTGTGGTTTAGAATCCAGTTTATGAGACGGTCCTGCTTCATCTTCTTTGTTGCTACTGTGATCTGGACCATCTTTCTTTGCCACTGGAAAAAGTGGCTTCGACCTTTCTACGCCTTGCTAAAATCACAAATAACAGATATCATTTTAAACGCTTCCTTTGCTTTAAATGTGATATTTCACGGGAAGGTTTGCATACCTCGTGTTTTAGCTGGAACAATTTCTGTCGCAAAGTTTCCTTATGTCGTTCTGTCAGCCTCACTCGAGATATTTGAGCAATCAGTTTCTGCAACAGCGATTCCCAGTATACTGAACACAAAAAAAAATGTATAATTTATGCGAACCTTATCAGAAATGTTATATATTAATCATTCAATGAGGCTGATTTTGCTAATCTGTCTTTCTATTTAATTTATCAATAGTATTTTTAAAACTTCTTTTAAATAACCTGTGTCAATATTAGTCTGCGTCTTTAACTTGTGTTCGACGCTCGCTCTCAATTTCAACAGTTCCGCCTCTGACTTGCCAGCGAATATCTTGTTCACTTCGCCTTCCACGCTGCGACTCATGCTCTCTCGTCTCTCGGATACATGTACCTCGTCATCTCCTCCGCCCTGATTGGCTGATGTCGAACTGAGTCGTGCTATCTCGTCATGCACTACAATTGTGATGTCTCGCCAGTACTCGGCATTTTTGCCCAGCTCTAACTCCATGTAGACTTTGATGTCTTCTAGAAGATCTTCCAAGTCGTTAATTCGAAGATCTGAAATATATCATAATTGTTTCTCTTTAATCTCAAAAGAGTCTAAATGAGACAAAAGAGTCTTCGACTGACTTAAATCCTATAGTCGCGGTTCGAACACATTCTGTCTCGAAGACCACTCTCCGCCACATTCCACAATCGACTCATTAATACGCCTTATCAAACAAAAAACTATTCGTCGGAACCTAGCCAAGATTCAACTAGGTCGCGTTATTTGTGATACTTTCATTAATAATCCAAACTTCCATCGATACAAATCTATTCTAGCATCAAATGTGCACCAAAACATGGAGACAATGTGATCCCATGAAACAAATACCTTCGATGAACTTCTGTGGATCGTGCATTTCTACTGCCAGCTGTTGATCTGCTTCCTCGGTCGAAATGTACTTGGCCAGAAGATCAATGGCCTTCGCTCTTCCGTCTTGTATTCTGATCGTACTTCTCAGTTTGGCCTGAAAAAAAAAACATTACTCGTGGTTACTGTCAATCGCAAAAGCTCAATCTAAGGAGCTGCAGCATTCTTATAAAGTCACAAAAAATATTCCATGTCATCGATATTATGCGCGTGGAATCACCCAGTATCCATGTCGCAAAGTTTGCTGGTAAAAGTTCCAACAGGCCAAGATAGCGAGTTAGATTTTTCAAAAAACAACTCCCTAGTGTTCAATTGTTTTAATATCAACAAAATATAATAGAATTAGAAAAACAAGTCAACCGACATCAGTGCCGAAAATCTACCAAAAACATTCGAATCCGATAAAACTTAATGTGCAACTAACGTTCACTCAAGCTAAATATGCAAACAAAACACTGCAACTATGCTATTAATTCAGCGATTCTAAAATTCACTAATTGCCATTTGACCATATAGTGAAAAAAGTTATTTACTGAAGAAAAGTCTAGTACCGAATTGCAATACCCTAGCATCTCGCAATAGTAATACGGCAAATTGATGAGCAAATTGGATGATGGTTGCAATAGCCATGCTAATCTTATGAGTACCACAGATGGAAACTAGCGAGAAAACGGCAAAAAAGCAGCTTTATTGTGTTAAAAAATAGAATTAAGCATTATAAAAAGTAAAATTGAACTTCGAATTAGTAAAACTTTGCAAGGTGTCGGATTCGAACGTGCGACCTCAAGATTAGGAGGCTCACTCCCTGCCCTGTCGGCCACGTAAAAGTGATACTAAAAAAAAGTAGACACAACTTTGCATGTAATAATTTGGAATGTAGCAAGCTGAAAGCCTCCACACTACCTTACACGTAGAAAGATGGAAAACGTGAAACCAAATTATGAAAAAATTATTCATTAAAAAAAACTGCGAGATATTGAATTGGAATATTTCAGAAATAAAGTTTTTATTTTTGTATTCGTTTGAAAAAACAGCTTTTTTTGGTTCATTTGATAAATGAATCAACTGTGTTCACTTATTACTAATTGAATGCAAATCACATGCTATCAAAAAGTCGTAAGAAAGCCCCAAAAATGGCACCAAATATTACGACTTAGGTTGGAAAAAAAGACAGTCGTACTATAACACTACTCTCGCTTAAGCTCTAGTGTAAACAAAGCCAATCGAAGATTGGAAAGTGTGCGCGTCAATCTCCACGATTATATAAAAAAAACAGTTTTTAAACACTTTAATTAATGAGTATTTTCTCGGCAAAATAACTCCGGAAATTTGAAAATATAACGATAATTTTAACAAGCTTTATCATCGGTAACATCGGCCACAAAAAACTGCATAACTCAAAGCAAGCTGCAAAAATGGCCAGTATTTGTCCTTGAGACAAATTGCTCTTTTTAAAGGTCAGACTTAATCAAGGCTGAACCAAATTAGAGCGAAAAGGCGGTTAAAATATGTTTTGGGGGGTCGAACCTGGTTACGGAGCATCCCATCATGTTCGGTGCATATTCCAGTTCTAGAAAGGAAATGACCTAGGCGGGATTCGAACCGGCGCCGAACCCGCCGGGACGCACCATGTATACGCTCGGCTACTGTCCCTATATGCATTTATATTTTGGTTCAGTTTTATATGCATTTATACTCTCGCACATTTGCGTTTATATTTGCGCTGCAACATCCTCCACCCCTAAACAAGGAAGAACGGGAGCGAGCTTTACGGTTGGGCGGGTCAGTTCGCTCGTAACGGTCTTTATGTCGGCGGAATTCGCGCATCCGTCCTTGCCATAGTGCAGTTTAAGGATACGTGCGAGTGGATAATGTCCACGTGGAGTGTCAGGCTCTATGACCCAAACCAAGTCGCCGGCTTTCAACTTAACGTCTGACTGGTTGTGCCACTTTGCCCTCCTATTGAGGGAAGGAACGTATTCCCGCATCCACCGTGTCCATATTGCGTTAGCGTATGATTGCGCTCTGGCGAACCGCTTCTTATGGTCGAAGTTTTCTTCGAAACTTAGCGACGGAAAACTCGCTGCGTGTTGACCAAGTATAAAATGATTCGGGGTCAACGCCTCTAGATCTAGCGGATTGGTACTAACGGCTGTTATCGGTATAGCGTTAAGTGATTGCTCAACAAGGCACAGCGTAGTTCTTAGAATCTCCTCAGTTACTCTCCTGTTGCCTAGGATGTCATACAAAACGCGCTTAACACTCCGAACTAATCGCTCCCAGGACCCACCATGGTGCGGTGCGCTGGGTGGATTGAATTTCCACTTGATCCCTTTCTGAACAAAAACAGCGGGTGCGAGCTTGTTCCAACTCTCAACGCAAGCTAAGAGCTCTTTCTGAGCGCCAACAAAGTTCGTGCCGTTGTCGGACATGATGGTAGTCGGAGTACCGCGACGTGCAATAAACCTCTCCACGCCCATCACACAAGAGCTTGTGTCCAGCGAGGGGACCACTTCAATGTGCACCGCTCTAGTGGTGAGACAGGTGAACAAAAAACCCCACCTCTTTTCCGTACTTCTCCGGATTGGAACTAGGAACTGCCCAAAGTAGTCAACACCTGTGTTAGAGAAAGGAGGTTGCTTGTAACCCAGCCTTTCAATGGGCAGATCATCCATCATATGAGTTACGGTTTGCGCTTTGCGTTTTCGGCACACAACGCAAGTATTTTCAATGCTTCGCAGCAACCATCGCAAATTTAACACAACGTACTTCAAATTAACCACCGCACGCATGTAATCCAAGCCTTGATGGAAATTCCTAACGTGCAAATGCTGAACGAATAACCGAACAACCGTGTGACGTGCATCAAGTATAATCGGATGCTTGCTATCGAAATCGGAATTAACCAAGCGGCTGATGCGCCCAAGGATGCCAGATGGTCCAATGAACGGCGAATACTTGGCGATCCGAATATTCCTCGTGATAACTTTACCGGATCTTAGTAGTTTTAGCTCACTGGGGAATGTTTCACCCTGGGACAGGTAAATGAGCTTCTGTTCAGCAATATCCATTTCAGACGGGTCTGTAATTTCTAATATACTCGACCGGAAATGTTTATGGGATGGCAGCCATCTTAACAAAAATGCTACTGCGCGTTTGTATTTTACAATTGAATTGAATCTCTCCCATTTTCCGAAGGGAAGATTTTTTTCTGTCAAAACATCGACGATGAAATTTGACGAATTTTCCAGACAAATGTCGATATCACATGATGGTCCTTTGAGTCTTATTTTATCGATAACCCTTGTATCGGGCTTGAACGGTCAATCAGTTGTTCTCAATATACTAGGGCCATTAACCCAGCTGCTTTCCTTGAGGGCTTCTGAAGAAATCCCTCGTGTACCGGTATCAGCTGGGTTATCACCGCTAAGTATGTGATGCCACTGATCAGTGCTGGTAGACTCCAGAATCTCACCAGTGCGATTACCAACAAAAACGGGTAGTTTACTACAAGAGTGAAGCCACTGAAGAACAATGGTACTATCTGTCCACATGAAAATATCCGTAACTTTGAAAGTAAGACCTTTCAAAATTTCTTCTTTTAAGCGGGTTGCAAGAAGAGCCGCTTGGAGCTCTAACTTTGGAATAGAAAGCGCTTTCATAGGCGCGACGCTGGCTTTGCCAAACACAAAGGCTAATTCGGTCTGATGGGAGCTAACAAGTCGCGCACGAAGGAAAGCGACGGCACAGAAAACATCCTGCGAACTATCACCGAACATGTGAAGTTCTATTCGGTCGAAAGGTTCAGTGAAATAGCTGCGAGGTATTGTCAGAGAACCTAACAAATGAAGGCCTGAGTGCCACTCAAGGAATTGCTTTTTGATTTCCTCTGGCAGATCATCATCCCATTTTTGACCGCTGATTCGCCAGATATCTTTTAATAGAAGGCGAGCCTTCACGGTATACGGAGCCACTAACCCAATTGGATCAAAAACAGAAGAAACAAAACTCAACACGGTACGCTGAGTGATTGCTTTGTCTAGTGGACGATCAACCCCTCTACTAAGGTATCTTTTACGTGATCCCACTTAAGACCGAGAACATGCGACGACTGGTCTGGACTCGTACAAATATCTTTAATAGACGAATTGGACTCACGGTTGTCCGGATCAAGAGCGGTTGTTACGTCGGGCACGTTGCTGACAAATTTTGTCAGACGAAACCCACCTAGTTTAAGCAACGAGATTAAATCCCTACCTAATTTCAAGGCGTCATCCCTGTTTTGAAAAGAATCCAGATAATCATCCATATAAAATTTCTGGACAACAGCCGAAGCAGCTTCGGGGTACTCAGCTTGATTATCCGATGCAGTCTTCTGCAAAGCAAAATTCGCACAAGTCGGCGAGTCACGAGCACCAAAAATGTGACGTGTATATTGGTGAACTACCACACTTGATGTGGGGTCCTCCCGCCACAAAAAAACGAAGAGAAGGTTGATCTTCTTCACGGACTCCAACCTGTAAAAACATCCCTTCAATGTCAGCTGACGGAATCTTAAAAGTACAAAAATGAGGTTTTGAAGGAGATCCGGGCCAACCAACAGAGATTTGTTCAAGTAAGCGCCATGACACTTCGATGCCCCATTGAGGACTCGGCGCACCTTACCGGGTTTATTCGAGTTCAACACCGGGTGATGCGGGAGATACCACTCACGATCGGCTCGTGATTTGGGATCGTGTGCCTTAACGGTTATGACATATCCTTTTTGTATATCTTCTCTTATTGTTTCGGCGTATTTTTCACGGAGTGACGGATCCTTATCTAGCCTCTTTTCCAAAGACTTTAATTGAGCTAAGGAGGAAAAATAGTTATTCGGTAAACTACTTTCCTTATCGTTCCAAAGCATTGGTACAATGTACCTCTCACCATCGTGAAAGGTGTCATTTTTCAAAACGGACAAAGCGCGTTTGTCGGCGGCGGAACGGGCATCTACCTGCTTGAAGGCTCCATATGACTCCAACTCGTACCAAGTTTTAATTTGGTCCGCAAGAGACACGTCTTCGACAATACACTCAAAGCAAGCTACAAGTGGTAATT